GTGTGTGTCTCTGTGTGTGTGTCTCTGTGTGTGTGTGTGTGTGTCTCTCTGTGTGTGTCTCTCTGTGTGTGTGTGTGTGTCTCTCTGTGTGTGTCTCTCTGTGTGTGTCTCTCTGTGTGTGTCTCTCTGTGTGTGTCTCTCTGTGTGTGTCTCTCTGTGTGTGTCTCTCTGTGTGTCTCTCTGTGTGTCTCTCTGTGTGTCTCTCTGTGTGTCTCTCTGTGTGTCTCTCTGTGTGCCTCTCTGTGTGTCTCTCTGTGTGTGTCTCTGTGTGTGTCTCTGTGTGTGTCTCTCTGTGTGTCTCTGCGTGTCTCTGTGTGTCTCTGTGCGTCTCTGTGTGTTTCTGTGTGTGTCGTGTTTGTCTTTGTTGTGTGCTTGTTTTTCTTTGGTTGTTGGCATGTTTTGGTGCGTTGTCTTGTCTGCTTTTGTTTGTTCTTGTTTGATTATTGTTTGCTGCTAGTTTTGTCAATCTTGACTGCTTTTGGTCTGTTGTTCTGTCTGTTTTTTGCTTTTGTTTGGTTGTCTGTGTGTCTGCCCGTTTGTTTGTTCGTTTGTGCTCCTGGCAGAACAGATCAACAACAAACTGCTTGGAGAAGGCTGCAAAGTCGGACGAAACCTCACAAAGATGGAGGCCCCAACAAACCTACTGAGAGCCCGGTGAAGTCCTAATCTGTTGGGCAAAATGTCCACCCGATCGCCTCAGGCTCCTGGCCAGGAGAGCGCTCGACCACGACGCGCACCTAAACGTGGAGTTCATGGAGTCTAATGCTTGCTGGCCAAGGCTTCAAGTTTTCTTTGTGCCTGTGGATGGATAGGAAGCCGCATCGTGAGTTTCAAAATACTCTTGCTTTCCCTTCCTGGAAGGCGTGAAGCCTTGGGATTGAAGGATTCCAGGAATGCGGCGCACTGGGATTTGAGTTCTAGGGCGCTTCAACCGTGCTCGGTGCTCAATGTGCTCATGTCTACTCATCCAATCTCCACCCCAAAGTGCAACGTCCCTATGTGCAGCACGTAAGCCTTTCAGCCTTTCAAGCTCACGAAAGGAAGGCCTCTGAGCAGGCCCTCGCTTTCGACACGCCACGGCACCGCGGCGGGCTCCGCCCAGCGCGCCTCCAGGGCTCCACCGGAGGCCGGGTCCGGGCCCTGACGGCGAGTCTTCGGAGTTGTCGGAGATGCACGGCACAGGATCCCAGCAATCGACCATCAGCGGACCCTCAGAGCCCTGCATTTTCGAGAAGACATAGCGCCCCATGTCTAAAGCTTAGTGGGCTTAGTGGCGTAGTGAAAGCCGAAGCCCATGTACCTTCTGACCGGACGGCGGCGGAAGCCGTCGGCCCACGAACTGCGCTGCCAGGAAATCTCCAGCCTCATGATTCTTCATTACTTGTTGGGCTGGCGCTGTTGGTGGAAGTGTGGAGGGCTCAGGAACAACAGGCCTTTCGGCCTAGTGGCACCTGATGCAAAACGGCGGATGGCAATGGCTTGATGGATCAGTATTGAATCATCTAGGATCCAGAAACCTTTCCCCAACTTCCTGCCAATCAGAACCAGGCGAGTCAGAGTGCATGCTTCGACTTTGCCACGTTCGGAAATGCTGGTGCGACAGCACAGATTAAGAAATCGAGGGGATGAAAAGGGAAACCACGGAGCCGTGACAATCTTCGCAATTGGTAGCTGCATTGGTTGCCTTCTTCACAGTGAAGGGCTTGAGACGGGGTCAAGGCAGGTTGAGGAGACCGCCACTGGGTGTTCCTAGAAATCCAGCCATCGTTTCCCAGGGTTGCTCTTTCGGAGCCCAACTGACCCCAGGCCCCGGGCGACATCCGCAGCCGCTGCCGCGTGGTCCGCAAGGCCCGCCAACAGCCCTCGGAGCTCCGAGATGCACGCCTCGCAAGGTCCCTGTTTTTGGGATTTCGGTTTTGGGGTTCGCCTAGGGGCCTAGGCGCTGGTCTCTTTGAGGTTTATGTCCGAAACCCGGCTGCGAGTTGCTACGCAGTGCCAAAGGTCTGAAGGTCTTGCAGGTTCCGCCAATCTCTTGTCACTACAGGATGTGTGCTGGTTGGACTTGGTTTGGTTTGGGCACCGCTTGAAAGGGACAGTTGATACACTCACTGCTCCGGGGAACCTTAGATGTTGTACAGCCGGTGGCACGCAGCCGCGTCTTTTTGGCTGTCGGTTCGGCGGGTAGTCTGTGACATGCAGCCGTGTTCTGGAATTGGGCTTTGCAGGGTTTAAGTCTCAGGCTTCGAAAGGATTTGCAGGTTCGTGAATTTGTTTTACAGTTCTCCTGGAAAATTCTGTTGCATGAGGCAAAATCCGCAGGGGCAAAGATCAAGGTGCTGCCCGGAAGCAAAACCTCCCGCAACCTCCAAGGAACTAGCTTTCGTGAAAGCAGCGAACATCTAAGCTGCACCTGTCGCTCCGTATTCCCGCAAGCGCTGCCGAGAGGACGATACCTGGGACAGCAGCCCGCTTTCAACTGCAGGGGCGCTTCAGAAACCCTCCTGCAAACCCTTCTCTTCCCAACCCCTTCAGCCCCAGACCCCGGACACCCTGAAACACACAAGCTCACCCATCCTTGCCCTGCGTTGCTCCACCTATCCACCTATCCCTTGGGCCCCTCCTTAATCCGTCGCGGCCAGCGTGCTGGCACCCCAGAGTCCCCAGGCATCGCAAGGGAAGTCCGCGGCGGTAGCGAGACCTTGGAAGCTGGAACGCCAGAATTGTGAAAAGGGGGGGGAGACGGGGGGGTTGTGGAAGAACCGGCCACGAGAGAAGCCTTGCGGAAACTCCAAGGGCCACATTCAACCCCCGTCTGGGCCCTCCAACTCCGCAGCCACCGCTGCTTCTAAGGCAGCCGGCAGCGCCTTCTCCAAGAAGTCGGCCCAGCAAAACCTGAAGAAACGATCCGAAAAATGGATGGTCTCTGCCAATACGTATGGCCACCCTACTGTCCATAGACCAGGAAATCCAGGAAGTCCTTGTCAGTCCGGCCTCTGGTAGGTAGAGATGGTGAGGTGATGCGAAGGGCGGCCCTCCACCGCGATCCCCTGTTGGGCTTCGGCCCTTGGGGTGCTTTGCGGGAATTGAAAGGTTTGCCTTGGTGGCTTCCCTTAGTGCTCTCAACCTCGCCTGCTTTCCTTGCAAAATGCTCTGTTTGGCTTGAACCGAGGTGACAGCTTTCTCTCGCGGGGCTGCCATTGGGAATGGCAATAGCAGTGCGGAGATTCGGCACGGAACATTACTTCGACAACACAGTGCCAGCAGAAAAGGATGATGCCAAGATCAGCCGGGCCCAAAGCCTGTGCGATGACGATCTGAAGCATTTTCAGGGACAAGAGGTCTTCATGGACCCCTAACATATGAATCCAGCTTCTCCACTTCAGAGCCTGCAGAAAATCCCCAAAGCCAACATCAAAAGCACCGTAGCATGATCCGACCCTTAAGAACCACTTTGCAATGCTATCTGCCCCATGATGCCCATTGATGGTCCATATCGCCTTGTGCACAGTGCCTCGGGGGAGATACAGCAAGTCGCCAGCCTCAAGGCGGATGGTCAGAGGTACTTCCAGAAACAAATTTCGAGCTGGGGACTTGAGTTTAGTTGTACCACAAAACTCGAAGCCTCGGGAATGGCTCCTTGAACATCCTCGCAACTTAGACCAAAGAGAAGCCCCGCAAATCCCGGCACTCCGTCGCCCTCTTTTTTTCTAGGCGAGCAGCTTCCAATGTCAGCTCCATGAGGGGAGGGCCTGACCCATCCACAGAGTTGGGTGTAAGGGCGTTGGGGACTTGAGGGCTTGATGGATTCATGGGCTCACAGCGCGCGCCACGAAAGCACACCCTTCAAATGGGGAATACTTGCGCCCTTCAATGGAACACTCTCCACATCCGAGCCTAGCTCCTCCTCCTTGTAGTCCCAGCAGTAGCTGCCTCTGGGAGACAAAGCACAAAAAGCATCGCTCGCTCTCTCTCTCTCTCTCTCTCTTTTCCTTTCTTTCTGCGCACCTAACCCTCCTCTATTGAGGAGGGCCGTCCGAAGGCGTGCGTTACTTCGACGGGCAAACCGATGCTGTGGGGTTGCAGGGAGCTCGACGTCGTTGCTAAATTACTGCATAGGAAATGGCTCCCTTTCACCCGCTGTCCAGCAAGGTTGCCCTGCCCCCTCGCCCCTCCACAGTAAGTGTGGCTCCGAATCTTTACACTAGCACATGCATCTCTCTCTCTCTCTCTCTCTCTCTCTCTCTCTCTCTCTCTCTCTCTCTCTCTCTCCCACACGCATAGCCCCCCTCGCGGGAGGCTGCCCCCAGGGGCGCTCTCTCTCTCTCTCTCTCTCTCTCTCTCTCTCTCTTTCCTTTTTCGAAGGCCTTGAGACCCACCGAAGCGGCCCGAATCTGTATTTTGGCACCACGTTTGTTTTAAGCAAAGCGCGGAACTTGCGCGGGGGGGGGGGCGGGGGGGTGGGATTTAAAGCTTTTGGGGGGCAGGGAGGGGGCGGGGCACTCAACCTCTCCCCTCCAAAATAAGGAGGTGCTCGCCAAACGCCCTCAGCGGCTAAACTTGGCCGAGCTTGTGCTAAACCTCACAAGGCACGGGGCAGCGGGCCGCTGGGGCAGCGGTGCAGGCGCCAGCGCTTGGCGCCCTCCAACTGCAGCATGAAGACCTCGAGAACGCGAGTACGGGGCTTGGTTGGGGGTCTGCAGACTCACCAGGACTTTTCTGGAAGCTTCCCGAACGACAGCAGTGGGTGGGTCTCAAGCTGTGCCAACACCCTTCCCCAACAGAACTAACACCACGCTTCTGCCAGACCTTCACCATGCAATGACCGAATGACAGTGCTCAGCCCATTGTTTTCAATACTCCGGATCCAAAATCCAAGCAAGATCAAACTGCTTTGATGTTTGGCAAGTCAGCTGAGAATTCAATACATTTCGATACCTTGAACAGACCTGCATGCGGTCGTTATTGTTTGCACGACATCTCAATCTCGACAAGGTGGACAAAGTGGCTGGACTGACATGGCCGATTTTCCAGAACACTTGCAAGTTGTGCGGGGATCGTCAATGGTCAAGCTTCAACTGCAAGCTCAAAAACTTCCACGATGTCACTCGAGTGAACTTCTCTTCAGTCTTCAATCCTAGGCTTGAGTTACGAAGTTGCAAAGCTGTCACCTAAAAAAGTCTCCAAATCCCACCGCTATCAGTTCTAAATCCGCAATGGTCTTGGGACACCACCATACGAACGACGAGTACGAAAGGCAGGTATCAGACCAGCCCGCATGCACCTCCTATCACCTCTGGTCCGCTTACACACATGCGCCAGCCACGTGCGCCACGTGCGCCACGTGCGCCAGCCTCGACCTCATCGTGATGTGCCTGCCAGAAGAGGACATGGACAGGGCCTTGCTTCCAGAGTTCAGAAGTGGTTCCCTTTGTTTGCAGTGAGAGGCCATGTGACGTCAGTGACGCGAAATCCAAAGCCAAGCTCAGCCTCTCAGCCAAGCTCAGCCAAGCTCACTAACAACGCATGCAGACTATCTTCACAGCAGGTCGAGGGGGCTTTACTCCGCATCTCTCGACTCTCGGAAGCCACTGCAACAGACACCTCCAGCTGTGCAAGTCGAGAGCTGAGCCCTGAGCCCTGACCCCTAGCAGCAAACTCGGCAAACTCAAACACCTCACACAAGTCCTCCCAGAAGATTCTGAGCTAGGGCAGCTCTAGGCCTCTAGGCCCTCTGACCCAATGTGTTGGGCAAGGCTTGGCTCGCTTCCCCATCAGTGCCAGTCCTTGAAGCCCATGCTTCCCGGAGGCGTCCGGAAACTGTTGGCCCCCCAAAGGCAGCCGAAGTGGGCCTAGCCGGGAGTTCTCAGACAAGGCTGTTGTGCTTTACATGTTCTGTGTTTCTTAGTTTTCTGAGAGTGTGTGACCCGGTCGTCACCGCCTCATCGATCCCAAGGCATGACAATGAAAAGCAAAGACAACAAAAAGAACAAACCATGAGCAAGATGAGCCGACATTCGGCCATTTTCTGAATAAGAACTCTGGCACGCCACAAAAGGTGCTTTGTGAAAGCCCTTGCTGATCTGTTCGGCCCATGGAAGAACCAGACCCCACCCCTGGAAAGCCCCAAAACCGTCCCAAACCCAGATTCATCTGAATTGTATCAATGGCTTTGTCCCAGAAATGCATCGGTCATGAAAACGACTTCCTTGCGCAGAATTGTAGCGCGCCTAACCGTACGCACCCTCGGAACTCAAAAGCCTTTCGTCCTGGAGGTTGTTGTGTCTACGGATGTTTGAGGATAACTTAACCTTATGATTAAGTTCAGAAGCGAAGAGTTTATGGAGGGCTGGGTCTTTCCAGGGATAGGCATACCCGAAACATTCGCGAAGCTTTCGCCAGTTCTAGCGCCACATCTTGTTTCTCAAAAAATGGATTTCGTAAACTGGGTCAAGTGTTGACGTACTTTCGCCAAAAGAACTCCTTTCGCGTGCCTGTTCGCGGATATCAATGCTTTATATTTATATCGACATCCAAGCCCGAAAACCTGCGCAACCCGGCCCAGAACCTCGAGGCGCTTGAGCAGCTCGGCCACGGGCGCGGCGAAGCGCTGTGGATGGACCACCTCCGCATTTTCACGGCATTTGTCGTGGGTGCCTTTGGTGCTTTTAGGGGTCGGCCTGGGGCACCCCTTGCGCTGCTGCATGGCAGACCTTCCAGGCAAATGGCCTGGTTGCTCGCTGCTTGCTTGGTGGCTTGGGCTGCGTGACGATCTCTTGAAGGCGCCCCAAATCCCCCAACTCTGCGGACTCCATTAACCGAAGGACCAACCCGCTGAGGCCGTTCGAGCCAGGGGCCTGGACGGAGCACCCGTCCGCCACCTGCTCATCTGAGCATCAAGGTCAAAGGCTAGGGCCCACTATTGCTGTCTGGATTGCGAATGACGTCGCTTGACTGTATGCGTTCGAGACAGGTGACGCAGTCTCTGCATGTTAGGATTGTCAGCCACTTAGCTGGGGTAGGACGCATGTCAGAAGCGCCTCCAACAACAAATCATTGCTGATTTGGCAAGAAGACATTGACCAAACCACGGTCTCGAATGCAATCGTACACTGTGTACATTTACTTGGCGGGTTACCAGGACATCTCGGAGAAAAACTGCTGTGAAAAGCGCTTCTGTGCAAAACTTCCAACAGCCATCGTGGAACCAGCACGTTTGCGCCTGGCGGGCGATCTTCTTTGGATCCGCCCTGCCCTGACCTCGGATACGAAACCCCCGAGAATGCATGGTCACGGCTCTGCATGCGGGCAAAGCCTCCGGAAAGCCCCGAAGATCCTGCGGCCTTTCCGTTTTGGAGCTTATGGAGCTCGCCGCCTTCGTGATGCAGCTGGAGGGCCATTGCACATAATCTGGCTGCCGTCTTCCGCGCACCTGCTTGGCAGTATTTCGCACAGGTGGCATCCGAACCCCCAAGCCCACCCAAACACCTTGAAATCTCAATCTCCGCACCTGGGATCTCCAGCAATACACACTTGCTATTCGACGACGCTGGACAGTTCGGGCGAATCGGGGTGCCGCCCATATGCTTTTCTCACGGTACCTCCTCACGCATGTCATGTGACTGTCCTTTGGGCAAGGCCCTAAGGCCCTAAGGGGATCCTTAACATATCCTTCACGAAGCATCCGAAGCATCCTCCGAAAGCCACATGGGTGCCTTGCGACGTTGATGTCCTGACCGAAGACCAGGCCCGGTGATCTCAGCTGCGCCTCTGCAAGAGAGCTCGCAGCGCAGAACGGCACAAAAGATTACTAAACTTCACTAAGCCCTTAAGCCTTGCGACCGTGGCCTCGATCTCGGCCTGCGACAGCAGCCCTGCATAACGGTCGGGATTCTTCCGTTGCAAGTGCAGTGGCCGCCTCTCCTGTGAATGTCGCAACTCTTGTGCTTCAGCGCTTCGGGAGATTCTGAAGTTGTCATCCCTCGTGCCAGCGAGCTAGTAGTGACCTCGTGGCCTAGTGCACCGCCTGAGCAAGTCGTGATGCCTCCCAAGCACCCGATTCGCAGAACCAGCACTAGTGGTCTAAGCCTGAGGGAAAGAATACAATGTCCACAGTCCAGAAGTTTGTAAACTAAGGCACGATGTGAGACCTGAGGTCTTGCAGGAGCGTGGCCCGAAACTCTCTATGTCAGAGCCCAAGTCCTCAAACGGAAAGCCTCCAGCACCTTGGCCCCAACTGCAACCCCAAGCTCGAGGCCGGGCCTCTGAAACCGATCTTGCAAGCCTTCTCATCTAATCCCCGAGGCACCCAGACATCAGAGAAGAAGTGTCCCACATCCGTCGGAGATAGCAGCCACCTTTGCACTGGGCATAAAAAAAGGAGGCAGCTTGACTTTCTCAAACTCCCTGCCAGCAGCAAAAGGGCTGCCACTGGCACTTCTAAAACGTCCATTTGTGCATCGGCACACCACTGGCACACGTGTACACTTGGGAGGTCGGGAGCCTAGAGGTCAGGTCACCGCAACCCCGGGCAGTTTTAAAAAAAATCGTCGAGACAAAGCGCTGGAGCGCCACATCGGAGCTGCTGCACCAGGGCCTCGCAAGCCGTTGCTCTTCGTCTTCCGAAAGTATCCCCCGTTGGCTCGGGGCTTTAAAATCAGCCCTTGCACGCTACTTGCAGGGCTAGGGCACTTGAAGTGTGTCAAGCATCAGGTTCTCGGGGGGTTGCAAGAGGTTGACATGCGGCAGCCGCCACCGGCAAACTCGAGTCCTTCTCCGAATGAATCATTCTCCGAATATTTCGCCGTCAAGCGTAGCTCAATGTCGTTCAACGCCCGAACCAAGGATCAGCCAGCACGGCCGCATGAAGAGGTTCGGGCTTAAGGTTTTTTTGGTCGCCCGCCTATACATCTGCACCCACTCACTCCAGGGGCGAGGCCACTAGCACTCAGAAACTCGGGCCTTCCAGAGGCTCATTTTTAGGGAATGGCCGAAAGGACGCAAGTGCAGAAAAACTTGAGCCACCCTTAATCCCAAAACCAGAAGATTGCAGCACCATCCCTTGTGCTGTGGAATAGTTCTGCCCCTTGACGGTGGTATGGAGGTGGGGGGGGAGCCCAATTTGGCCCGTGAAGGAGTGGTTCAGACCGACGGAATTGTCGACACCCTGCAACTATGTCTTCGAACTGCAACTTGTGCAATCAACAAAACCAGTTCAACGGGACCCCATCTGGGTGTGATGGACATCAACCCGAGTGTACCACATCTGCACGTGCCTAGGCGCGGTCGTGCTGGCTGCCGGGCTCATGGGTGCAGAGAAAGGGGCTTGGATGGGCTTGAGAGTTGGCGATGCACGGAATGCTCTGGCATGTGCTCGTCCGACATGTCAGCACGGCAAGACTCCCTGCGCTCATTAGCCAAATGGCTTCGAACCACATGTGTTGCCAGGCAAGAAGTGCAACACTAAGGCGAATGCTGAGAATGCGAAGTGCCATAGGGATGCAAAACACACCGATGAGACTCTGCGCTCTCCTATACAATGGCAGGCTCACGAGCAACATCAGTACCGAAGCAGCAGCAGCAGCAGCAGGAGGTGGTGAAACCAAGACCTTGGTAACCACATAAGGCCAATACTTGCGATTTCATCGTGGACTAGACCAATGCATGCATGTATCGTCGGCCTACTCCTTTTTTCGTGACGCCGTAGTGGAGGCACCATCTTTGTTTCTCTCTAATTCTCCCAACAACAACAGCTAAAGGACCTCAGAGCCTGAGAAGAAATCACTCTCATGGTCCTCTTTCGGGGATGAACATCCGAATAGCTGAGGCCATTCATGTCTCTGTGGAGGGATCCGAACACCGGGCAATTCTGAGCCTCACATGTGAGTCGTGTGAGATACACATAAGTAAGGAGCACGTGAACTCCAAGAGTCTCACTTGATTGCAAGCCAGGCTAGCAGCCCTAAGACTACGCCCACACCCGCAGACCGCGTGCCCCGGCAAGAATGCACATGCGCATGGTCTTGCGCATTTGTGCGTTGCCAAGAAGTCACTGTGGGGCGATAGTGAGGCTCACCACAGCCACCATATTGGCAGCACGGATTTTGCAGGATGCCCCCCATATGGGACAAACAGTGAAAAACTGTGATACTTATTGTAGGCTCGAGAGACACTTGGCAGGCTATTCGCGGGCGTTCTGTTTGAAAAATCTGTGTTCTTCCAGGCCCTCAAGGCGCAACACGGCCCAACACAGCACCTTGTTCTGCAAACGGAATTCTGCGCACATGCACAGGGCCTGGAAGTATTTAAAGCGCCTCCTGAGAAGGATGTGCACTGCTTGCCTTCGCCGCTGCCCTCCAACGAATGGAAGGACTCCGCAGCCCTCAATCACACAGAATCACACAACCCAATGCTTCCCAGTGGGGGCAAGTGGCTCGAGCAATGCTTCCGACTGTCCATGTCTCAGCGGCTTTTGTACTTTTGCGGCCGCCAAGGTACCGTGGTGGCACCTTAATCTGTTCCCCCGAATGCCGACAACCACCGCCCCCAACATCCACCTTTCCCAAACTGATTCAACGTAATACTAGTGGTAAGAAAATATTAGGGGGAAGAGACTGCACACGAGGAAAATACAACCTCCGTGCGGCTGCCAAAATTGAGCAACAGGATTCATAGGCACAACCCGTTCGGGTCACACAGCCTCGCTCAACCGGAATTGCAATCGTCAAGGTGGTTCTGAGCTGGCTGTGCATCCCCAGAGGCTAAGTGGGCAGGAAGTGCCAGCATCTTGCTGGGTTTTTGCTGCGGAAATGCAGAGAGGGGAATCTCTTGGCATTCATGCAGGAAGACTGAACGTTCTGAGGTTGGAAGTTCGAACGCCCTTCACACCTGCCAAAAGTCTTCCAAATCCAGCAACGTCCTACGTCCCTACGTGTCACTGCAAATCGGGGTGTGCTGCGGTGTGGGATGGTGTGGGGCTTCGGCCTCTCCGACCTTGGCGGACCCGTCGGTCGCATGATGTCGAATTATTCGGCAGGAGATTTTGCGGGAGCACTCGAGCTTCAGCTCCAATACCTAGCCTGTGCCAAGCGCTGGGGCTGTCCCCAGTAGCTGACTCCAAAAATCTCCCAGTGCCAATGTGGCGCCATGTGGCGAATCAGCATGCAAATGTGCACAACACTCTGTTGTACAAAGAAGCTAGAGCGAGAAGATGGTGACGTCAGATGTGCCTCGGACACGTTGGTTTTGGAGGTGGATCATGGCGAGGTTGAGTTGACATGGAAAGTTCTGAGTGCGGTTCACGGCACATGCTTCGACCCCAACCCAGACAGGTATATACGACGAAACTGACAAGCTTTCATAAGCTGGTAGCCCAAAGCCTCGTATGCCTTTTCTCAAGCTCCATATGTCACGAATAGGAAACTCCAATAGGGCCTAAGTCCTGAGACCAAACTTCCGCCACCCCGACGCACCCCCAAAACGGAAAGCACTTTCTGCACTTTGTTGTTGACCGCCTTTCAATTACGGGCTGGTTTGTGCCATTGCTTTCCAAAGCCAAGTGGCGCCACGCAGCCACGGAGCGGAGGAGCGCGGATATTTCCCGTAGCTCCTTTTCTGGTCGGGAATGTACGGCGAGAATCTGAGGGATGCTGGATTTCAGCCTGGGAATCGGAGTTCATCGGAGTGCTGAGCTAAGCTTGGAGCATGATGAGCTAAGATAAGCCCGAAATGCGCCTGCTTGCACCGATCATATCAGAGTCTAGTTTTGCACACAAGAAGCGAAGCTGATATCCGGGCCTTTTCCTGCGTGCCAGCTGTGAGATTCTTTTCATGTGCTCCCGCAGTTGCTCTATTCAACTCTATTCGGTCTCGTTTCAACTGCCCAGTTCTTAAAGACGCAGCGCCGAGTTAAACAGTAGGAGAGAAAGCTCCTCCACTCAAAAGTTTGTTAGGAGACGTACCCCATTCTGACCCCAACAACCCTATCTTTGGGACGTTTGCTTTGAGGATACCCGGTGTGGTGCATCAGAATTAACACCCCCCCACCCCGGCCCCCCTTCTGCCCTCCTCCCTCCACCACCCGCAGCCCCGTTTTCTTGGTAAACTCGCATACCTGGTCTATGCATGAGCCTCCCCCACATGATTGCACGAAGCCCCAAAGTTTTCGTTTTGGGCTCGGATGGCAGGTTGGTCAACTTCTTAGTGAAGAACATATGGAGCTTTCTTGCCCCAGATCGTGGTGTTGCTTCTCTCCGGCCAGATGCTCTTCACTGCCGTGAAGCGGCGGCTCAGTTTCGTGGAGAGTGGCTCATTTGGTTGCTGTCATCGGAGAGCAGCTCTCACCCTGATGGGAGGCCCTAAGAGGACCTGTCTCACGAGCGAGGCCAACCAGCTTCGCAGTGGCCTGTGGGCCTCTGCGGCGGAGAGACGGACGCTCTTCCCTTCTTCCCTGAAGTTCAGCAGTAGTTCAGCGAAGGCCGGACTTCCAGCTCGACGCGGAGTCTGGTGCAGCTGACCCCCTCTCCAAGGCGAAGCAACCGTAACCCCGGAGATCCCTGGAGATCCCTTGGAGATCCCTCCTGCTCCGTCGGCTGGCGACCACGCAAGTCCTCAGAGGAAAGTTGTGTCTCCTCTTGGTTCGATATACATTTCTACTAGTTTCTACTTCTACCCTTTGCCATGTTTGGGTTTATGCCTTCGGCAGGGGCTACTTGAGGATTGTGTAGCTTCTGGCAACATTCTGCTAGCGCCCACACGATAGCCGCAACTGGCACAACTGTGGAAGGTGGCTCGGCCATGGAGGCCTAAAGACCCCAACTCCTCTGAAGGGCTTCGGAACATCTAGCTTAAACACGCATGGCTGGTGGACTCATGGTTATCTCTAGGCCTGGGACCTGGGAGCCGCCTGAAAGGCACTAGTGTCCAGTCCACTGTTGTCCCCGACATATTTGGTCTCAGCCCCTTATGGTTCCTCAACTCATGCCTGAACCGGTTCAACTCTGCCAGGCGACCTCAAGTTCCTCTTGCACCTGAGGGTGCGAAGGTCGAACGGCGCTTCGGGGGCTTTGGGGTGCGGTTCGGCCCTGCCCTGACTCGTGGAATTGGTGTACTGGTAGAAGGAGAGATGGGGGTCTGTGGCAAAGCTTTAGAAGCCACCCCCCTAGAATCTTTCAGGACTATGACGCGACTCCAGTTACGCAGCGGCGACTTTACAACATCGCAACTCCCAAATTTGCAGCCGGGCTCCAAAAACCGAACCCGCCCTCAATACGTCAAAGGCACCAAACGTTCCAACATGCCACAAGACAACACAAGTCAACAAAGTCAAGAACAACTGGGGCCCAATGCATCAACAGAAGCGCAGGTGTCACTTCCACTACCTGTCAGGGTTTTTTCATGTCCCAACTTGAGGGAGTTCAGGGAGAGGGATTCGGGGTGAACCCCAGGTTAACGATCTTTCCTGCACTCAAGGCTGGTTCACATGCCAAGGCCTGCAGGGCTGTCTCCTTTCTTCGTCTTCTTGTACATGACCTGCAGGAAAGAGAACGCGGGATGAGGTGGCATTGCGAAGATGCAA